ATAGTAAGCGTACGGACAGTTCCGCCGATCGTTTGGCGGGGAACGCGATTTGCTCATTCTGGCGTGGCGAGAAAAACCGTTCGCGGTATCCTGGTTTTCGCAGGCCCTTCGCACAAGCGTTTCGCGCGGGAACAAAGCAACCGGAAGCCCGTGCCAGTACACGCACGGTACGAACGAGCGTATGTGTATCAGTTTCTTCGAGCCACGTAAATTCTTGCCGTCTTGTTTCGCATCCGTAGACATCGAGCCACCGTGATTTCACACTCGATCGTCACGTGCCGTCGCCGTGGAAGCCGCGCCGTTTAACTTTCATACGTTTCTTTGTAATATTATCTTCCTTTCATTTTGTACATTCCCTTCGTTGCCATTGAAAGCCGCCCCGCGACATACATTCGAGTCAATTAACGCAACTCACGGATCCGTGTGCGTCGAATGGTGCTCGAGCCCGCGATAACCAATGAGAATCGAAGCTCCGAAAACGTTCGTTCCGTTCACCGAGACGTCCGATGGAAAAACGGAAACATGGAACCGTGCGGAGTCGTTCGACGTCCAGTGATCCTCGAGTTGGTTAGAAGGCGCGTTGCGGTACGTGACGGCGTTCCGTTTTAACGTTTTAAGGTTTCAATTGTTCGACGCGCGCGTCAGCGGTCACCGAGCGTGATCGCTGGCCGCAAGTTTCACCGACCGTTCTCTGCACCGTTTTCAGGGTCGTGTTCGCGAGCTCGGGGGTGGAAATGTCACCGGACGAGCCGTCGGCCGCGTCCCGACGACGATGCCCGCGTGCCAGCCAGTCGTAGAATTTTTGTACGAGCGGAAGGTCTTGCCCGCGGAACGACTACTGCCAGATATATAATCGTAAATGCTGCCACATTCCATCCGTTCGACTTATCGTAATCGAGAAACAGATAGAAAGGGGGATAAGGTGTACGAGCCAAGTACACGGACGGCGACAACATTTGGAGCGCACTCTGCCTGGTGAATAGAGGCGACCGATTTACGATTTGCATATCCGAGTCTTTGGTTTTTCCTTTTCTTTTTCTTCGTCGTTTCGTATCCTTTTCCTTTGCACCGATAACGGCGTAACCGGCGGGCCATTGAAGATAAAGAGAACACCCGTAGACACACATATACCCTGCAAAGGCGTGCAACTTGTTCGACTCGAATCGCGAACGAAGGGAATAAGAATGTTTATTGCGAGTTCTGTTTCATCGAATTTCTTCCCGCACTCAAGCGCGTTCGATATGATTTCATGCGATTCCAGTTACAAATTGAGCATCGAACGAAACCGAACGGTCGTCGGTGCGCCTCTCTCCGTTGTCGTTCTCCCGTTCGAACCCCGAGAATTCGTTCGACTCGCGGATCCGTTCGCAGAGGCAACCGTGTTCGTTTGTGGACTTTGATTTTCCGCGGGAGCATTCCACTGTGATCCGATAATTTGCACGCCTCTGTACCACGTCACGTCTCTTGAAGGTTTGTTGCGTGTGAAAAGGGGAGAGAGATAGCGTTTATCGTCGGGAAACTCTCGAAGCAAGGTGTATATAATGTAAATAGGGCTTTGTACATGTTGAACACTTGTAATTGTAAATGGAAAAATGCGTGGGGAATAGAGAGAGAGAGGGAGAGAAAGCGTGCGCGAAAGGGTGCCGAGAGTGTAGAATGCGTGAGACGAGACTAGAGAGAGATCGAGGGAAAAAAAAAGAGAGAGAACGATCGAGCGAGAGGATTTAATGTGAACACAGAAGAAAAATACACTAGATAAGACAAGTTACTAGTAAGTAGTGAATATTACAGTGACTATTATCGTGATGGCGGATGCGTGAGGCGGTTAACTTAAGTCCCCCAATTGCGTAAATTAGTTAATGTGTAAATAAATTAAGCGAGGAAGTAAAATATTAAATGAAAGCCCAAGTAATCATTGGATATTTATAACGAGTCTCCACCGAATGAGAGAACGGAACGAGCAAAACAAAAACAATCGCAGATAACGAAGAACACACGGGAAATGGAAGAGAAGTAGGTTCGACGAGAGAAGGAGGGGAAAAGCGAAACAGAATACATGGACTCGAGTACTCGTCCGTGCGTTAGGTCGCTGTTGCGAGAGAGAAACGTTAGGGGAGAGGATCAGCTCAGACCGGAAAAGGGACAGAAAAAAGGGAAAAGTCAAAAGGAACATGCGGAGAGAGCAGGAGAAAGACAAACGACCAGAAAAGGGAACGTTTAAGATTGTGCAACAATTAATCAGATGAACAGATATACAGTGCATGTTTTATCCTTAGCTGTTTTATAAATATTAAATCTAACCCTCCTCCATCCGTCACACCTTCTCCTCCTTTCTCCCTCTCTCTCTCTCTCTCTCTCTCTCTCTTTCTCTCTGTCTTTCTCTCTGTCTTTCTCTCTGTCTTTCTCTCTTTGTACACGAACAGAAACACCTAC